TGTCAGATATCTCGATCATAGAGTAATGTCTGCGTTTCGTGAAAACAAAATGGCCACCATCTGGTGGCTTCTGATTGGACGAAACCTACAGATTGTCGAATTTGATAAAAATGGGTAAAAAAGTAAAACATGACTTATGTGGCAATTTTGTTAATATAAGCCTTCCGATTAAGTACTACACTTCCGCATATCAACCTATCTGTCGCTCATCAAAAAACTTGTCAGATAGCGGCCAGGGGCGTCGCGGACATCTGAATCCTGGAAGACTGGGACCAATAACGCAAAAGTGACATTTGTATACAAAATATCTCTTGACGACGTGACGTAAAACAAGAACGCCCATGTTTGGTATTTTTGGGGCCTGTTTCACAAAAAATCTCTTGTGCTTAAGTGTGGGAATAGCAAATCATAATTGATTATTTGTTCTAACGTCAGTTTCTGATTGACTACTCTGAGAATTTAGCATGAGAGCGTACTTCAGATTTTTTTTTGTGTGAAACCAGAACCACATGGATTTTTTTTTCTGGAAAACCACTGGTATTCTGATATAGAATACGACAGGATAATACAATTTCTGTAAAGCCCTGTTCACTATTATACACTGTTCAACACGCTTCCAACTTTCTCTATATTTGATAGAAATGCCAAATGCATACCGAATAATTAACCAAATGTGACTTTTCAAACATTTTTAATTACAAACTGTAAAAAGTTTTGAAATATTTTTCCATTTTCAATGCCATTATATAGTCCAGAAAACTTCAGTTTTAGCTCACCAGATATTAACAGTTCACTTCATTTTCGTTCTTATCCAAAATTATTAATGTCCTCAGAAAGATACAAAAACATATTAGTCTTGAAAAGGTGACTCACTGGAAAATAATCAGGTAAATATGAATGATAATGAGTCACTTATCCACCTGACCTTGGCGGTACACCTCGGACATGATTCACGAATAATCGGGCCTGTACCAATAAATTCGACTTGTCTTAGAAAATTACGTCTCAGTAACACCAGTATTCATTTAGGTTTAGGTGAAGTGAACTTGTCACTGATTAGCCAAATCACCAAATCTTATTTCCATATCGAGGAAACGCCTGTTAAAAATATATATCAGGTAACCTTACGATGCATAAATCATGAACCGTAGCAGAAAGAGATCATAAAATTTCATACCACAAGCTCTACTGTCCACAGCGTGTACCCGAACTTTAAGCATAAGTGAGACTTATCATCATATTAATTTATCACTGCGTCAGTTAATGTAGTCGAACACATATCAGCATATCTAGTAAAAGAAAGCCTTTCAGTTAGAAGGCACGAAATAAATGAATATTTGGTTGGGTATTAAAGGTACAATTACTTTTTCATATTGCTTGGTACAACACCAAGTTCAAAATTAAAGAATTAGACAATATCCATAATCCAAACATTAGATTCAAGTACGTTCGAAAATTCTGCTCTAAACTGGGAAACGAGTCAAACGATTTCGACAGTTCAAGGACTCTGCTAAAGGTGTGTGCCACCGGTCTTCGAGCTAAACCTGTTACAGCGACGAACTGAACCTTTATCTCATGCGATAAAAGGAGGTCGGAACCTGTGCAAAAACGCACAAATTTCTTCAATGTCTCGCTGTTAAGTTCCCTAACATACCGCTTCAGATAATGGGAAACGATTGTTTCTTCTGCTGTCATAATTTCAGGAAGCCTGAACACTTTACACACTGCCCTGGCAGTAGGTTTCAGGTCTAGATAGTTAGAGCAAAACTGTTCATTGGTGAGCATCCCAGCTAGGGTGCTTACCCAGCAATCTGCTACTGTTTGAATGAGCTCCTTGTGAGCTACTTCTGTCAAAAGTTTCCTTATGTTTTCTGCGGTCGGCAGCTTTCTGCAGTCGTGTGAATCAAGATATTCAACCACTTCTTCCGTGTCAACAGATTGAAAGTCATTTGCCGATTCTTTTAAGCAGGAACTTTCGACTTCGGGAAGGTAGTTGAAAAATGATTCCAGCAAGCCACTTTCATCTATCTGTCCAAATAAACATTGCGACATGAATTGTTTTGACAATGCAACAGGATAGTAACATTCCTTGTTCCAGCCAAACAGAATTATTTTGGCAACACTTTGCCATTCGGCATCGCTAAAATCATGGCGAAGAAACGGTACTTTTTCAGTGGTGCCAAGTGTGCATTGTTCGTAAAATTCGCCCCAAAATTCCATCAATGTGTCCCACCTCCATCTTCTGCCAATTCAACCTTTCCATTAGGCATTATCATAGCGAGATAAAATCTCATTGTTCATGACGCCATTTTGGTCTCGTCAATTACCTCTTGAATTGTTTTCCCTTCCTCTAATTTCTTTTCAGAGAAATCCCAAATATCTGTCTCGAAATCGGAGAGTTTTAGAGCTCTCCCCATTCTTAAAAAACGGTGATACGGCCTCTTCCAGCAATTCATTACGAGTAGCGTTCTTGCTCAATTCTATTTTCCTAGTCCCTCCACCAGTTTTCTTCCTCACCTGTTTTGTTCTTTTATGTGTACGATGAATCCATCCCAACTGAATCGTTCTAGTGTCCTTCAGAGCATTTTTGTTTCCATTTAATTTGACGCGGCATGCTTGCTTGTGATGTGTTTTCCTCATCTTGCGTGTTTTCCCGTCTCTTTTGGAGTTTGTTCTGTAGTATAGACAACAGCTTGCTCTTCCTCGTAGTTTCAGGACTTTTTTCTTCTCTTAGATATTTCCTTAAACGCAACCTGTCTCCGTGCTGTGGTACGTAATCTTTGAGCTCCGTATCAGTCATCGATTCCACAAGGTCTGGGGTGATCAGAAAGATATATTATATTATTATATTATATGTATATGTTATATTACATTGATACTCATTGCTGTTACAAGTGAAAAAAGCAACTGGGAAGCAATTCTTTGTTTATTCTAGTCACCTAACTCTTAAAGCAATTGTTAAGTTGGCCGCAGCGTATCGTCCACTTGTTTATCGTCATGTCTAATAAACTTGATTATCTCCGAGTATCGTCAACTTGTTTATCGTAATGTCTAATAAACTTGATTATCTCCGAGTATCGTCAACTTGTTTATCGTATTGTCTAATAAACTTGATTATCTCCTAGTATCATCAACTTGTTTATCGTCATGTCTGATATACTTGATTATCTCCTAGTATCATCAACTTGTTTATCGTCATGTCTGATATACTTGATTATCTCCTAGTATCGTCAACTTGTTTATCGTCATGTCTGATATACTTGATTATCTCCGAGTATCGTAAACTTGTTTATCGTCATGTCTGATATACTTGATTATCTCCTAGTATCGTCAACTTGTTTATCGTCATGTCTGATAAACTTGATTATCTCCTAGTATCATCAACTTGTTTATCGTCATGTCTGATAAACTTGATTATCTCCTAGTATCATAAACTTGTTCATCGTCATGTCTAATAAAACTTGATTATCTCCGAGTATCGTCAACCTGTTCATATTTCTTATTTGGTAGTAACCTCACACCTACGAAATGGTTATCAAAATATAAGTACGAATTGATGCGTACAAACAATGTATAAAACGGTACCAAAATTAAAGATTTTATTAGTACTTTCTATGGAACGCCACAGCTGCCTTAAAACTATGGATTTTATAGCATTGTGTTGCCTTGTATATTATTATGTCATCATAATATAGCATCTTGTCGCCATATTATATCATCATGTCACTATATTATTACATCATGTCGCCATATCATAACATCATGTCGCCATAAAATATCATCATGTCACCACATTATAACATCATGTCGCCATATTATATCATCATGTCACCACATTATAACGTCATGTCGCCATATGATATCATCATGTCACCATATTATAACATCATGTCGCCATATGATATCATCATGTCACCACATTATAACATCATGTCGCCATATTATATCATCATGTCTCCATATCATAACATCATGTCGTCGTATTATATCATCATGTCACCAAAATATAACATCATGTCGCCATATTACAACCTCATGTCGCCATATAACAACATCATGTCACCATATTATAACAACATGTCGCCATATTATATCATCATGCCAAAATATCATAACATCATGTCGCCGAGATATAACATCATGTCATCATAATGTAGCATCTTGTCGCCATATTATATCATCATGTCACTCTATTATTACATCATGTCGCCATATCATAACATCATGTCGTCGTATTATATCATCATGTCACCAAAATATAACATCATGTCGCCAAAGTGTATCATCATGTCACCATACATATCGTGTCGCTTTGTTATTGCATCCTGTCACCAAAGTATGACGTTTTTTTTATTAAGACTACTCGGAAAGCACTCGGATTTTCGCGAAAGAGTCGAGAGCAAACATACCGAAGCCAGTTAGGGTCACATGGAAAACAAGAGGCCCACTGGCCTTAACGGTCATCTGACTACCATATCAGAGAATTTTGAAGTTAAACTGGAGAAATTGTTATGGTGACTAAAACATGTCTCCCGTTCTTAACCCAAAACCTCAGATATGTTTATGAACAATACTAAAGAGAAGTTGACCTTTAACCTCTATGTCAAGGTCAACATGACCTATTGACATTATATGAAACTAAATGCAAAGTATAATCAAGATAACATGTATGGTTAAGCAGCCATGGCCAAAGCAGAAACTGTTAAGAAACGAAGATGGCCGCCATGGCAAACCGATCTAAAAGATAAAAACGTTAACACATGTGGTCAGGACCATCTCAGGATCAATTCAGGCAAGTTTCATCTCGGTCCCACTGGTGGAACTTGAGAAGAAGTTTAAAATGTGCTTTTCAAGATGTCCGCCATGGCGGCCATATTGGAATTCCTACCGACAGGAAAAATAAAAACACTTGGTCAGGACCATCTCAGGATAATTTCAGGAAAGTTTCGGGTTAGTCCCACTGCTAGAAGATGAGAAGAAGTTTAATATAGTTTTTCAAAATGGCCGCCATGGGGGCCATATTGGATTTCGGATCGACCCGAAAAACAACAACACTAGGTCAGGACCAGCTCGGGATCATTTCAGGTAAGTTTCAGCTCAATCCCTCTGGTAGAACTTGAGAAGAAGTTCGAAATGTGAAAAAGTTTACGGACGGCGCACGGCGCCGCTGCCGCCGCCGGAAAAGTAACACCTATGTCTCGTTTCGCAACTTTCGTCGCAGGCGATACAAAAATTGGATACCCCGTTGAAAGAAGCCAAACCGTTTCAATCTGTACATGTACTATTCCAAATTAGCTTGACCCATGGTACTCGGTGTAATAATTTTCCGAAAATCGGTCTCCCTAATTACCAACCAAGCTCAAGAGCCTAAGATTATTTACCAAAACGATGTTGAAATCACCGGCAAGAAGACAACAGCATAAAAAATTATGTACACTGTCAGTAAAACAAGTTGTTATCGATGATTATTACACTGTATGCTGATACCCTGAATAACCGTCAAGGTTGTGAACAAAAATAAATGTGCAGAAAAGATACGTGAATGTTTACTGCAATGATACTTAAATACATTTTTTGCATTAAATGAAAGAAAACAAATGTACTGATTATCAGCACAAGTCAGTACTATTCTAATAAAATATTAAAACATGATGTTTTATAAAAAAAAAAACTATGAAATAGCAGGCATTTTTTATTATTGTTTATTTATTTTTACATATATTTCTCTGAACAAAATATGAGAAATGTTCTACGAGAAAATTACATTTTTTACAGGAATTCAATATGCATTTTAATTTAGAAACGAAACAAAGTGCAGTATATATTCTATAAAAGTAAAAATAATATGAAAAGGAAAAAAAATAATACAGAGTTAACATATTTTTACTTCATATTATTAACGGACTTCAGTATTAACGTTTCATTTTATTGTTATAGTCCTTCCTTGTCTGCTGTTTTTTATGATATGCTCCGATCAATTAACATTCAGAATCAGTGTCATATATATGATAATTAAAAATGTGGTCTACCTATGGGAATCAAATCTTCGTAGGTTAAAGCACGCCAATAACACTAATGTTGATCGGAATCATGATAACAGGATGCAATAACAAAGCGACACGATATAATACGGTGACACGATGTTATATTGTAACGACACGATGTCAATCAGATTACTTCTACTTTTATATAAGAAGTCTTTTAAGCTAATACTTGTAATAACTAAACAACAATTTTATGTCTTGCCACTAAAAAGATCAGCCCCTCCATTTCTTACTATTTTTTATTTCTTACCCCTCTTAATGCTTCTAACCATATATGAATGCTATCCAGTCCATTATTTCTGAAGAGGAGTCTTAAAGATCAGTATTGCCAAATTTTCCCCGTTAGACCTCGCCTGTCAGTCCCAATCGGAGTGCTTCTTGTCAAAAATATTAACTTATAATCAGTCCTTAAGAGGAAGTCGTTTGAAGTTTTCGTTATGACACCAAACGACGGATGGACGACATACGACCCTCGCCACGATGTGGCATAATCTTACCGTGGTCCTTTGGATAGATGAACTAAAACGGTTTATTTTTCTAAAACAAAGAAGGGCACGTGAAGTTAGAGGCATATAATGTCTGTCGTTATTTGTTGGCAAACATATCTTCAGTTGTTGATCCTCTTTTAAAAAATATCAAGGAAACCTGAATGGTAAACGTTACAGTACTGTAGCGGCATGTGTTCAGAATACCCATCTTCTGACTCCATTCATCCGATAGCTTCTTCACGAAAGAAATAACCGAATTCATTCCGAAGCCTGACCGTAATCGTCACATCTCTCAGATAGATAACTGTATAAATAACCCATTTTAACGATATCTCGTTTTAACGAGATAACTAACGCGTTATAACGAGATAACTAACGCGTTTTAACGAGATAATTAACGCGTTTTAACGAGAAAAAACAATTTTTTTTTTGTTTTTCAAAGTGACACTAATAGGCTTTCGTAGTTATGCAAAATGCTTTAAAAGGTACATTTTTTTTCAAAATAATTGATTTCTGTCATTTTGGAGAAAACATTGTCCTTTGTTCATAAAACATTATTAAGAAACATTATACAACTGTACCAATATTTACATTATTTGTCTTTCAGATCCAGCACGTATTGCCATAAGAACAGTGAAATATTGTTTTGCCATTGCTAATCATTGCTGGATTCTAGATTATAAGTGGATAGAAGACAGCAAGCAAGCAGGACACCTGTTACCAGAGGTATATTAAACTTTGTTATAACGAGATGTCCTAGGAAATTCTTGCAGTTTTTATTCTATATTTGTCCTTTCACAATAAAATAATGAAGCGGCAGGAAACAAAAATATGTTGAGAGGATGATATTTATTGAAGGCCAAGGCTAAATATCCTTGGGTCAAGAAAACGCGATGAAATCCAACAATTATTGTACGATTACAATCAATCCAGTAGATAATCTCATATACGAAGATAATGAAATGATGACTGTTTAAGGTTAACGTAATATTAAAAATAATAATGCTGTGTTTGACGTTTAAGTTTTGGCAAGACTTTAATTTGTTGGTTATCTTGGAATCAAACACATGTTAGATAAGATATGGAAAGAAGAGAAGACTTGTAAAAGCTGTTACAAACCTCAATGGGTATTCATATTGAATATGCTACAGTGCACAAATATCTATAGTGCCATGTTTTAGATAAAACAAAATACATACTAGATTATCAAGAGAATCAGTTTTGCTTTTACTTTACTAGGAAGATTATGAGATAATTGGGGATTCTACAACTGGAACAAAAATTCAAAGGCCAAAAGCTTCACGCATGACGGGTTCGTCGCTGCTGACAGGGTATGAAGTATACTGTGATGAAAAATCAAGTAAAGATATTGACACAGGTGTGTATGCATTTACTTGCAATTACTTTGATTATTTTTCTCGATTTTAATTTTGATCAGGACTATTCCATTTAAATGCATAGCCAACACCAAAAGTTTTTAGAATAAATCATATTGGTTTGATGTTTGGGTTTAGAACAAAATTTTAACCCCAGGTCATACGGTATGTTGGGGGAAAAAAAAACACTTTAATAATAAAAACAATAATGACATCCATGGTTTGGAGTATGAATTTAAGTAGAATAGCCCTATTAAATCATCAATGTAAGATATACAAGATACATATACATAGATCAGAATTATTATGAATAATTGAAAGTTCAGGTAATTTTATTATCATGAATTGTCCATGGATGAATTTAAATATTTTTTTCGTACAAAGAGTTTAAACACATTGGTGTATCAATGTTAATTGTTGCAATTTTCAAGAACTTACATTATTCTTTGTAGTTACTATGACAAAATCGCTACTTGAATGTGGAGGTACCGTAGCACGAAGTCTCTCAGATTTCTCAAACAAACATGTGAAACAGCTTATAGTGACATGTACTGAAGATAATGATGTGACACCTGAGGATGTTGAAAAATACACTAAGAAATTATTTATAAATGCGCAAAGACACACAGATGACATATCTATTTAACTCAGGGAGTTGATTAACTATAAGGAGTGTTGGTTAAAATTAGTATTTTTTTAGATAGGACATACAATATGTTAAGTTAACTGGAGGTATGTATACAATATATGTATACACACACATGTTCAGTACAAGACATGGTAAGTGGTACACAGAATAATCATACTTTTATTGGTTAGTCATATTTTGTGATTGGCCAGTTTTTTGTCTTTTAGGTAAAGTTCTTGGGAGTTTTGCAATATTGTTTGATATTATCCACCATCTATCCCCCTACCACACCACACTCCAGTAATACATTTTGATTTGTGACAAAGGCAGAGCATTTTAGACAGACCTTGTAATGGTGTGTGCCAATCCAATATCCGTCTAGATCTTGGGTTCTCTTGTTATAGGACCTAGAATCAGAATTTGGAACATCTGTTGACATAGGAGTGATGGAAGGTTCATACATTTCTTGATTTGTTAGACACTCATATTATAATGCTATCTCAATGTATTTGATGTTTTATTTTCAGAGATTTACAAGAAGACTGGAATTGTGACAGTAGTTCGTGACTGGGTCTTTGATTCACTTTCATTACACAGTGTGCAGCCATTAGATGAATACAAATTTACTGCAGAGGAAAACATGGTAATAATGTAATGAATTTTAAATGTTTCTGATTTCAGTGATATTTTGCAGTTTGACTAGAAATGATGTAGGACATTGAATGCATTTTTAGCTTTACTGGTCAAAAATATGGAGAGCTGATGTTATAACCTGTCGGTTGTTGTTGGTTCTCCATCTGTTACATGTTTTCCTGCAGGCTGGCATCCCCACCTGGGCTGAATGCTACATCTGAAGATCTTCATGTATGCAATAACCATGACCTTTAATTGATAAAACTTGGATTTACACATGACCCGCCCCTTAGACTTTGTCCTCTGTCCTCAACCCAACCATATATATGTGTGATGGGCATAAAGAGATGAACACACTAATGCTATGAGGCTTAGCTCTGTGATTTTATAATAATGGTTTTTTTTTCAGTCTGAAGATGATGAGAATGATGAAAGCGACAAGGACAGCGAGATGGATTTTTTTTGGTTGCGGTGATTATGATGAGAAAGATCCAGATTATGCAGATTTGGAGTCGGAATCTATAGAAGAAGACGAATATGTGTCAGATTCATCAGGGATATCAGAATTATTCCCAGTTCAAAGTGTTTCCAAGTCAGTTGAAGCATTGCGCAAAAAAAGAGCCAATATAATTACTGAAAAAGAACAGAAACCATTGACAGTAGACCCATATTCAGCAACTGGCATAGATCCTGTTAGAGTACAAGCAAGCAAAAATAAGGATGGCATCAGAATTTGGGATAAAATTCATTATTGTATGTATTGTGGAGAAGGATTTACAAACATTACAAACATTATCTAGGACCCCACAAACAGGAAATGGAGGTGCAACGGATCTTGTCCTTACCCTTGAAGTCAGAAAAAAGATAATTGGCATTGTTGAAACACAGGAATAGTGGAGATTATAAACATAATGTTGAAGTGCTAAAGAATGGAACTGGAACATTGGTTACATGGACAAGAAAAGATGAAACAACAATCACAGCAAAAGAATACCTGCCGTGTGAAGATTGTCTAGCCTTTTTCTTGAATACAAATTTGTGGAGACATAGGAAAATTTGCCCATTTCGAAAAAATGATAGGAATAAAAAAAGATTAAAGTCACAGGCATCTCTTCTGCTGCCAAGTTCAGTTGTGATCAGTGAGGGTCTTCAAAGAAAGGTGTTGAGTCGTATGAATACCGATGAAATTACTATGGTTGTGCGAAATGACCCAGTCATTTTACGTATTGGGGAAAAATTGTTCCAGAAACATGGTCACCTACCTCATCTGTATCCGCATGTTAGTCAAAAAATGAGAGAGCTTGGACGGTTTTTAATTTCGGTAAGGAAACAAGACACAGAGATAAATTTGCTGTCAGATGAACTAGTCCCCAAAAATTTTCCAATTGCTGTAAATGCAACAAGAAAGCTCTGCGGTTACGTTGAAGAAAACAAGTACAGCAATCCTTCTCTGGCACTGAGAATTGGACACCTGTTGAAAAAATGTGCAAAGGCAATGTCTTTGATATCTGCTGACACTCAATCAGGATCAAATGCTGATGCATTCCTCACATTGTGTGAAAGTGAATGGAGCGATGATGTGTCCATCGCTGCTTTACAGACTCTTAGCTCAGAGAAGAGGAACAAAGGATCTATCTTGCCACTGACAGAGGACATCACCAAAATTCAAAGATTTCTGAAGGAGAAGTCAAGCTCATTGACAGCAGGTCTGGAGGAAAAGTTCTCAAAGCAAACTTGGGATATGCTGAATCAAGTAACCCTTGCAAGTGTTGTACTATTCAGTCGAAGGAGAGGAGGGGAAACTGAACGGATAACACTGAAAAATTACTTGGACGGAAAAAAGAACCCAACATCTTCTTTACAAGAGATTGAAGATTCTCTCAGTCCTGTAGAGAAGATGTTGTGTGATACATTTGAGAGAGTAGAAATAAGAGGAAAGAAAGGAAGAACAGTGCCAGTTCTACTTACACCTTGCCTGATTAAGAACATTGATTGCCTTATGAAATACAGAGAGGAGTCTGGTGTTAGTAAGGAAAACCCTTATCTATTTCCACGTTCATCGTTTGAATCCCTAAACCCGATCAGGAGTGCAGATTGTTTACGGCGGTTCGCACAAGATGCCAGACTTGAGAAACCAGAAAGCCTCACCAGCACACAGTTAAGAAAGCATGTGGCAACTTTTTCGCAAGTACTGAACCTCAGCAAATCCGACCTGGAGAACATGGCCAATTTTCTCGGACATGACATAAAGATTCATAGATCCTTCTATAGAATTCCACAACAATTGCAAAAATGGGAAGACTTTTGACTGCATTTGACAATGGAACTGTTAGCAAATACAGTGGAAAGACACTGGATGAAATCCCAGTTGATGATGTTGAAGGTAAGTGAAATGATATGGTTGATAAGGCAACCTGAATATAATTTGTTCATGATTTAGTGATTTAAAGATAAGTCTCAAGTTAAAAATATTGCAAACACTAATTTGAAGTACACTGACATAAAGGCGAAGCTTTGTTGTTTTATTTCCAATCTCTAATTTGTCATCAAGGTATCAAATTAAATTCCAAAATGTATGATATGTAGAAATTATTGTTGATAAACTTGTTCTATTTGCAAAGCTGGAATAACATGTATGAAATATAGCAACATTTTCCTTATGAGTACATTTCAGAGTTCATTTATTGTATTGTGCTATGTAACAAAACATTTAAATATGTGTCTGTGTACCAATATTTAATCATATCAACCACTTTTATTCATTACAGAATTGCAGCTCGATGGTTATATAAGCAGTGATGACTGTTTTGAGAGTGACTCCGATAACGGTAATACACCTTTTTAAAGGGCCAAGTGAACTTGTGCGATGGTGTGGCATCCCTCAGGTGTCCAACTATTTAATTTAAATGACTTCCTGTCAATAACAGGAAGACCCAGAGTGCTATTATTTGGCCTCTAGGTATCTGGCTGTGTCATAGGGTATTGTATGACATTGGCCTTCATTCAGCGTCAGAGGCATCAAATACGTTTAAAACTTTTAAGAAAGATTTTCTAAGCAACTAGAAGGTCTCCAGAAATGATTTAAGCTTTCTGATTTAGTTTTTATCAAAAAAGAAAAAAAAATGACATGAATTTATATATTTTCTTTTCAAGTGTCTGGTCACCAATTGTTTGACTGCAGCAAGAAAGGAAATGGTTGTAGTTCGTCTACTGAGAAAGGTAAGTTATAACCAGAATAGCTCTCAGGCAAAGTCCTATATTTTCTGGTAAAAGCTTGCAGTTAATTTCACTTTTACAAAATCTTTGTAGCTCACACATTCAGTGAAAGGCAAACAATTACTTGGGAAATATTTGTTTATTTTACCTTATTGCAATGAACGACACTGCCCATTAGAGAACTTTTGTACGCAGAGTCTCTATATTGAAAAATACCACAATAAATATAGAATGTTGAATCACGTGTACATTACAGTGAAATGTCACTTAAATCCATAGAAGTATCAACATCGATATTGATCCTGTCTGTAATTAGGTGACTTCTACACCTCTTTGTTGTTTACATAGTATAATACAATCACCGTCATTTCAACGATTTTGAAACAGAAAAACTGAGATGTGTTTGTTTTGAGCTGAACTTGTGTCAGAAGTGCCAATTGAGTGTATGTCAAGGTGCGGCCTCCATCGTCCATCAAATTTTATTTCAAACAACTTCTTCTGAATAACCACAAGGCTTAAGTTGATAATATATGGCCAGAAGCCTGTGTTAATGAATTTTTGATGACTTCTTAAGAATACCCAAAAGTTTAGAAGTATGCTGGGATGAAAAGCTATAAAGTGTGTTAAATTTAATGCCCTTGTTCAACTCTTAAGGTCACTGGTCCTATATGTTTAAATCTTTTCATAGAGTCTTTTGAATCAAATAGTGATATTTTATCTGTAGTTTTATTTTAGCCTAGTCCAGTTTTAAGATTACAAGTGTGAGATCCAGGCCCATTGAGCTTCTGAGACTCTTATTATCTTTTTATCCATATATTTCAAAGAATGAACGTTTCTTTTGTTTTTGAGATGTGATTTGTTTCTTTTGCTGCTCTGGGGTGTAGTTTCTGGACTTTTCATCTATACAATGGCAGAATGAAAGAGTTAAATATTTCAGCTCTCTCCTTCAGTGTAGTAAAATATGGTTGGTATGTGTCCAGACAGAACGTGTCTGTCACATGCTGAATGAGTCTTTGTTTGTACCTTATCTTTTAGTTGACGAAAACAAAGAAACAGAAGCATTAACCTGGTAGCTAAAGATGTATACATCATTGCAAGGCAGTAGTGTTTGACATCAATATCGTGACTTTAAGTTTATGTTATATGCTAACCTATGCATTTTTTTACCTATGTAATTGTTGAGTGTTGCTTAACAGAAATGTGTTTTTGTGACATGGTTTAATCAGTAACCGTCATCTTTATAAAATGATACCAAGACTGGTACATATGAAATGTTAAACTGAAAACAATTATCTATTTTTTTTTTCTGTACAGGACTTTGTTTCATTGTTAACTACAATAATAATGTGCAATATGTCACCCTAAATTCATTCCTCTGACTGGAATATTGACCTCCTTTGTAAGAAAGCATTTTATGATATAATGATTACTTTTAACTTTTATGCCTGTACCACAACATTTGTGAATGGCAAAGTATTGCTGCCAAATTTAGTGCTCTACATCTACATTGCAATACTTTGCCTCTGTGCTTGTTACTAAAATTTAGTTGATTTTGATGGTGATTTATCTCGCTCCAGGAGTTGTATCCTTCATGATGATGAGATATTATGTAAAATCTTGAAATATTGCAAGAATTATTCCCCCCCCCCCAATCAAGGTCAGCATTGCTATAAATATAAATTCTGTTTCCTCACTCTCACTTGAGTTCTCTTTGGCGAATTACGCTTCAACTTCATACATTGCATCCTTACTTACGATGCTTGCTTGGGAGTGCTTTTCAGGTCCAAGTTTCAAAGGTCCCAGGTCAAGGTCACCATTGCAATCTGGGTTTCCGCGCTTTAACTTGAAATTTCCTTCTTACTGAAGGGTCTTGCTTAGAATTGCTTTTCAGGTCCGAGAGTCAAAGGTCAAGGTCACCGTTGCTATACATAAAAAATGGTTAATGTGCTCCAACTCGTGTCCCTTGGGCCGATTAAACTCAAACGTCATACAGTGCATCCTTACCGAAGGGACTTGCTATAGCTTTTCAGGTCGGAAAGTCAACAGTCAAGTTCACCGTTACTAAAAATAGAAATTTTGTTTGAATGCAATAACTTCGAGTTGTCATGTACACCATTTATGGTACGTCTTACGTTAGAAGGTGATAGGTCAAGGCTACTGTTAAAAAACTTCACTTTTAATGGCTCCTGATGTTCAAAGGTCAAGTTCACTTAAATGCTAAGATTATGCCATCACCCAACTTAAACAGCAATCTGGGGGATTAGTATCGTTCATTGATACATTGTTTCGTTTCAGTTATTTTTCCTGTGCTTGTTAAAATAAATAAGCAATTTAATTAAAACATGATATTACAATGTTTATTATATTTGGCTTTTTCTTTACCTAGAAAATGGACAATACATAAAGTTTCCCCAACGAGTGATGGTTTGTTTTCATGTTTATATAATTTGAACGTTAATTTTCAAATTGTATAACGACAGGAGACTTATCTTACTGAGTTAAACATGATAACCAACTACCACAACCTACGGACCTTTTTCTCCCACAACGTTCATATCATATCTGGAAAACTATCTGTTTCTGTTGCAAATAACATTATTCCTGTTATTGATTGAGACAACACTCATGACAGAAGATAACATCACAAAGCATTGTTACACAACGTCATAGATAAAGCACAGACCCAAGAAATCGCTTCCAGGGTGTAACCACTAGTGGGTAACCAAAAATGTTACCAACTCCAAGCAATTTTACCCAATGAGTCGGAAGTAAGAAAGTTTGTTGTGCTGGTAGGCTGCTACAGAGCTCATAAGTGGTATATACCTCGGTAGGCTGCTACAGAGCTCATAAGTGGTATGTACCTCGGTAGGCTGCTACAGAGCTCATACGTGGTATGTACATGCACCTCGGTAGGCCACTACAGAGCTCATACGTGGTATGTACATGTACCTCGGTAGGCTTCTACAGAGTTCATAAATGGTATGTACCTCGGTAGGCTGCTACAGAGCTAATAAGTGGTATGTAAATGTACCTCGGTAGGTTGCTACAGAGCTAATAAGTGGTATGTAAATGTACCTCGGTAGGCTGCTACAGAGCTAATAAGTGGTATGTACATGTACCTCGGTAGGCTGCTATAGAGCTAATAAGTGGTATGTAAATGAACCTCGGTAGGCTGCTACAGAGCTCATAAGTGGTATGCACATGTACCTCGATAGGCTCCTATAGAGCTCATTAATGGTTTGTACCTCGGTAGGCTGCTACAGAGCTCATAAATGGTTTGTACCTCGGTAGGCTAATACATAGCTCATACGTGGTATGTACATATACCTTGGTTGGCTTCTACAGAGCTCATAAGTGGTATGTAAATGTACCTCGGTAGGCTGCTACAGAGCTCATAAGTGGTATGTACATGTACCTCGATAGGCTGCTACAGAGCTCATAAATGGTTTGTACCTCGGTAGGCTGCTACAGAGCTCATAAATGGTTTGTACCTCGGTAGGCTACTACATAGCTCATACGTGGTATGTACATGTACCTCGGTAGGCTTCTACAGAGCTCATAAGTGGTTTGTACATGTACCTCGGTAGGTTGCTACAGAGCTAATAAGTGGTATGTAAATGTACCTCGGTAGGCTGCTACAGAGCTCATAAGTGGTATGTACATGTACCTCGATAGGCTGCTACAGAGCTCATAAATGGTTTGTACCTCGGTAGGCTGCTACAGAGCTCATAAATGGTTTGTACCTCGGTAGGCTACTACATAGCTCATACGTGGTATGTACATGTACCTCGGTAGGCTTCTACAGAGCTCATACGTGGTATGTACATGCACCTCGGTAGGCCACTACAGAGCTCATACGTGGTATGTACATGTACCTCGGTAGGCTTCTACAGAGTTCATAAATGGTTTGTACCTCGGTAGGCTGCTACAGAGCTAATAAGTGGTATGTAAATGTACCTCGGTAGGCTGCTACAGAGCTAATAAGTGGTATGTACATGTACCTCGGTAGGCTGCTATAGAGCTAATAAGTGGTATGTAAATGTACCTCGGTAGGCTGCTACAGAGCTCATAAGTGGTATGTACATGTACCTCGATAGGCTCCTATAGAGCTCATTAATGGTTTGTACCTCGGTAGGCTGCTACAGAGCTCATAAATGGTTTGTACCTCGGTAGGCTACTACATAGCTCATACGTGGTATGTACATATACCTTGGTTGGCTTCTACAGAGCTCATAAGTGGTATGTACATGTACCTCGATAGGCTCCTATAGAGCTCATTAATGGTTTGTACCTCGATAGGCTGCTACAGAGCTCATAAATGGTTTGTACCTCGGTAGGCTGCTACAGAGCTCATAAATGGTTTGTACCTCAGTAGGCTACTATATAGCTCATACGTGGTATGTACATGTACCTCGGTAGGCTTCTACAGAGCTCATAAGTGGTTTGTACATGTACCTCGGTAGGTTGCTACAGAGCTAATAAGTGGTATGTAAATGTACCTCGGTAGGCTGCTACAGAGCTCATAAGTGGTATGTACATGTACCTCGATAGGCTGCTACAGAGCTCATAAATGGTTTGTAACTCGGTAGGCTGCTACAGAGCTCATAAATGGTTTGTACCTCGGTAGGCTACTACATAGCTCATACGTGGTATGTACATGTACCTCGGTAGGCTTCTACAGAGCTCATAAGTGGTTTGTACATGTACCTCGGTAGGTTGCTACAGAGCTAATAAGTGGTATGTAAATGTACCTCGGTAGGCTGCTACAGAGCTCATAAGTGGTATGTACATGTTCCTCGATAGGATGCTACAGAGCTCATAAATGGTTTGTACCTCGGTAGGCTGCTACAGAGCTCATAAGTGGTTTGTACATATACCTCGGTAGGCTGCTACAGAGCTCATAAGTGGTATGTAAATATACCTCGGTAGGCTGCTATAGAGCTCATAAGTGGTATATAAATGTACCTCTGTAGGCTGCTACAGAGCTCATAAATGGTTTGTACCTCGGTAGGTTGCTACATAGCTCATAAGTGGTATGTACATGTACCTCGGTAGGCTTCTACAGAGCTCATAAGTGGTTTGTACATGTACCTCGGTAGGCTGCTATAGAACTCATAAGTGGTATGTAAATGTACCTCTGTAGGCTGCTACAGAGCTCATAAGTGGTATGTACATGTACCTCTATAGGCTGCTATAGAGCTCATAAATGGTTTGTACCTCGGTAGGCTGCTACAGAGCTCATAAATGGTTTGTACCTCGGTAGGCTACTACAGAGCTCATACGTGGTATGTACATGTACCTCGGTAGGCTTCTACAGAGCTCATAAGTGGTTTTTTACATGTACCTCGGTAGGCTGCTATAGAACTCATAAGTGGTATGTAAATGTACCTCTGTAGGCTGCTACAGAGCTCATAAGTGGTATGTACATGTACCTCTATAGGCTGCTATAGAGCTCATAAATTGTTTGTACCTCGATAGACTGCTAAAGAGCTCATAAATGGTTTGTACCTCGGTAGGCTACTACAGAGCTCATACGTGGTATGTACATGTACCTCGGTAGGCTTCTACAGAGCTCATAAGTGCTTTGTAGCTCGGTAGGCTGCTCCAGAGCTCATAAGTGGTATGTAAATGTACCTCGGTAGGCTGCTATAGAGCTCATAAGTACCCGTGTGTGCATTGATCCCTTATATGATAATACCCCGCAACTACTTTGTTCTGTTTCCGTACCTCTGTACTAATGCATAGTGTTTTTAATTTTTTTTCAAGCTTAGATCCTTCTTTTTACAAGGTGAAGTATTTTTCATACACGGAACAATTTCATCTTTAGTTTCAGGTGCCAAGATTATGCCCTTTACATTGGGAAAGAACATACCTCGGCATGTCAGTGTAGTGAAAGGTACCTCTCGATGTAAGGAAAACCAGTAATGGTGTGTGTGTGTGTGTGTGTGTGTGTGTGTGTGTGTGTGTGTGTGTGTGTGTGTGTGTGTGTGTGTGTGTGTGTGTGTGTGTGTGTGTGTGTGTGTGTGTGTGTGTGTGTGTGTGTGTGTGTTTGTAATGGGCTTTTCAGCAAGGGAGAGACTCCCTTTAACTAAACATCAGATGCAGCCTATTGACAAAGTCATTTAGATAATTGTAACCGAACTGTTGGAGAAAGTGAAGTCAATAGGGATGCGCAAGGAGACCAATCAAAATGACAATTTATAATAAAGTTCCATCCAAATGACATCATACTCTCAGAATGAGTTTCTGGGATGGATGGTACTAAATTCTGGAAACAGATCGCACATACAGGTGAATTACAAGTTTGATTTAATCTAATGGTCGGTTTAAGCTCCTGAAGTTGGTGTTATCTAAACCTTTATGGTCTATGTGATGTTATAAAAAATTTTTTTTAAAAATCTGCTGTATTACGGAACGAGCATCTGCAAGAGTTATCGGACTTATTGTAACTTCCAGTTTTTTTACATGTGTTTTTGCAGTACAGCTAGGAGCTGTTTTACTCAATTATCTTCATGTGTCATTTAGATCTAGTGCTAACCATTGATTTCTTACCCTCTCCGGAGGTTCTGTGTTGTGACGCACCAATGTACCAGAGTTTGGCGATACTGACCGCAATGAAAACTTCAATGAACGAATAAAAGATTTGAGACACCACAGTAAGAAATTAACGACCTGCATGCAAATGACGTCATCAGTCACAGGCACCCGTCCCCGGACGAAAAGCACCAAAGGTATAGAACAATTTGAGCATAAATACCATAGAAACATGTCAAACAAACGAAAACATCTAGAATCAGTATTATCTGCGTTGTTTAACACAGCTACCAGCCCACTGGCCGACATCAGCAACATTAAGGATGACCTCACCAGCACCTTCGCAGGTCAACGCTGAATTAGCAGAAAGTAAATCAGCTTTATCAGCACAAGGGTCTGTTAACACAAATGTCAGGTTTGACTGTTCACCCACTTTGTTACAATCCTCCCAAGGATAATTACCTCATTTTGAGTTACCTACATGTACCTCAAATTTCAATCCGTTGCCTGAAAACCCCGAACCGCGCATACTACAGCGTTTGAAACGAAGTCAACAAATGTCGTCCACTCCGGGTCCATTGCCATTGTTAGACATATCACTAGTCACTTCAACCAACGATATACCAATTACCTCATCAACGACAAATGCCTTGAACCCAGATGCGCAAGAATTTCACCCACCACCTACAAACCATCACTTTGATATGTGTGCTGAGTTCTCAAAGAACCTCTTGAAAAAGGATTTACTCCTGTCTAGACTCACTAAGTTCACAGACTGCCCAGAGACCTATGCCATATGGAAATCTAATTTCAAAGGTATCATAACAGAGCTTGGAGCTTCGGCTTCAGAGGAAATGGACCTCCTGGTAAAATGGCTTGGTGTAGATTCCAGCAGGCAAGCCCTGAGCATAAGATCTGCATACCCTGAGGACCTAAAAGTAAGGGTGGCAAGAATCTGGGAAAGATTAGAGGATCGTTATGCTGGTCCAGAGATGGTAGAGGCTTGTCTGAAAGCCCGTTTCGCTGCTTTCCGCAATATTTCGAACAAAGATAGTAGTCGATTGTTTGAACTTGTTGACCTTGTTTCCGAGATTGCTGCTAGGAAAGCAGACAAACAATACTCTACCATGTTGGCATACTATGACTCATCTTCTGGAGTAAACCCTATAGTGTCCAAGTTACCTGTTAGTATACAGCAAAAGAGGACTACACATAGCATCAAGTACAAGAAAAACCATGGTGCGTTATACCCTCCTTTCACTGTTTTCATAGAATTCCTGCGCGATATTGCAAGGGCGAGAAATGACCATGGGTTCAAATATGACCAGCCAGATTCGTCTAGCACTAAGTCAAAACCTGTCAAAACAGGAAACAGACCTCCCAAAGCTTTGGTGTCTTCAAGAAAAACTGAGGTGGAAAAACCATCAGAGCCTGCCCTGTCCTGTCCTATACATAAGACAAAACACACGTTCAACAAATGTAGAGGTTTCAGATCAAAGCCTATTGAGGAAAGGAGAAGTTTCTTCATGAGAACTCTCTGCTTGAGGTGTTGCGGCCCTGGAAAACACTTGGCCAAGGATTGTGATGTAGCCATAAAATAAGAAATTTGCAACAGTAGCCCGCATCCTTCGGCCCTACACATTGCAACTCCTCTAAGCAAGTCATCAGTTCTAGATAAAGAACAGGCTAAAATGAATCCTTCAAATCCTGTTAATTCAACATGTACACAGGTGTGTAAGAATCCCTTGGGCATGAGTAAATCCGGCGCAAAGACTGTCCTTGTTAAGGTGTACCCTACTGGCCAGCCAGACCAAGCTCTAAGACGCCATCATTGATGATAAGAGTAACCAAACACTTGCTAGGACTAGTTTCTTTGACCACTTTGGTGAAGAAGGCAACCACACCGAGTATACACTATCCTTATGCTCGGGCTACATTTCAGCTTCAGGAAGGAAAGCAAGAAGATATGTTGTTGAATCTATTGATGGCACAGCAGCTCTTGATATACCTGATTTGATTGATTGCGACATGATAACAGATGCTCGTGATGAGATACCGACTCCGGAGTCTGCCTTTCATCACCCCATTTACGTGAGATAGCAGAATACCTTCCTGCATTAGATCCTAAAGCCGATGTTATGATGCTCAGAGGGCTAGACCTTCCCACTGCACACCATGTGGAAGACCAGAAGATTGGTCCACCTGATGGGCCTTATGGCGGATAGCCCAGAGCCCTGTTTCCCTGTCTACCTCAAAGGATCAGGCTTATCAGTGGAGGACAAGGAGTTTCTTCATATAATGGACTCCTGTATGAGAAAGAATTCAGAGGGAAACTGGTCAGCGCCCCTTCCGTTCAAGCCAGATCGGCCTAGACTTCCCGACAACAGATCTCAGGCCTTACAAAGAGCAATGTCCTTGGACAGGAGTCTACACAGAGACGCTGTAAAGTGTGCTCACATGACTGAGTTTATGGCCAAGGTATTGAACAATGGGCATGCCGAAGTCGCTCCTCTTCTGAAGGATGGTGAAGAACGTTGGTACCTTCCTCTCTTCGGCATATACCTACCCAAAAAGCCTGATAAGATAAGAGCAGTATTTCACCCATCTGCTCGATGCGATGGCATCTCGCTCAACAGCGTACTTATGACAGGGCCAGACTTAGTGAACAATTTACTTCGTGTACTTTTGAGGTTCCGCGCTAAGCCTGTAGCCATTACAGGTGACGTCGAGCAAATGTTCTACTGTTTCAAGTTGGATAAATCACATCGGAATTTTCATCGGTTCTTCTGGCATGAAGACAATAACACGTCAAAATAGCTTATCGAATACCGTATGACAACACATGTCTTTGGGAATTCGCCATCACCTGCAGTGGCCACTTATGGTCTCAGACAAGCTGAGGGAGCGGATGCTGATGTGAAGGAATTTGTTCATCGATAATGGTCTGACGTCGAGTTATGATGCCGATACAGCTGCGTCCTTGATGACACGCACTCAGCATGCATTACGAACAAATTTCAATGAACGAATAAAAGATTTGAGACACCACAGTTTATTTCATTTGAATAATGACAAGAAAGATAAGTACTTGAAGTTTTAAAAACCATCTGATATCTGAAAATACTTAATTTTCTTTTTATTTAAGGGGCGCATCCGCTTTTCTTTCTAGATTTTTCATAGTTCTTCCGAATAATTCGATTTCCTCAGTGTTGCTGCAATTTATGCTCATAGTATCACCGACAGGTCATAATTTGACGGAACAACTAGATAATGCGACGTTATTCACTATTTGGCTCTTCTGTATATAATTCTAGATTAATCTGAAAGAAGATTTTCTCTTGTACAATCCGTTAGAGTTATGTCAATGTGGCAAAATATAGCTGCTTTTTTGTATTGTAATCTTAATGATATGTGATGTTCAGGTTAATGAACATATTATTAAGATTTCGACCGGCATTAATAGATATTCGCATTTGTTTCCTTGTTGCATTGCAAGCTGTCCATCGAAGCTTTGTATGTTATAGGCGATTCGGCAGCTTGATTAGTCACCAGCACGCAACTGATGTGCTAATGACTATGTGTGTAGGAAAATTAATTATGCGATGACGCAGTAGTTAATATGATTCAGTTATTACGTGGATTTACTATTTATTTCAATTTGTATCTCGCATACTTAACTGTAACGTTGCCATTCAGCACACAGTTAGTCAGTTGACACAATTTTCCATAGTTGTTTCTTTAAAATAGCTTAATGTTTCCTCCCGAATCTTTCTGGTGATACCAATCTATGCTGGTGCAAAATATCCTATCAAACATTAATATATTTTTATAAATAGGAATAATAGCTTATTTGCTTACCACTTCTGCTCTGGTCTTCGATCTGCATGCCATTATCACAGTTCTCCCTAATATTGCTATCCATTTTGCTGTTTCGTATCCGATGCCTGCAAAATAACAACCTATGTTATCGTCATAAAGTTTGTTTTTAGATGGTCTTATGTAATCCGAAAATTACAAAGCCACGGAACTGCTGATGTGAGTTAGAACTTTACTGTTTAGTCTGACTGAATCAATCAATCCCTTACTGACGCACATGTGAGATTTAATGTTGATTTGATCATATTCATTTTTAAAACGAATGTGTTAAATTCTAGCAGATCTCATGGAATCATAGTAATGGAAGGGATTTTTTTCCAGCGGGGCATCTTGTACTTTTATCGACTATAGGTATGTTAAGAAAATATTTTATCATTCATGCACACAGTAACAGGGGCAGTGTTAATCAGGGACCTGATGATATTATGGTGGCGTAGACCACTGCAGAAGGTTTTTGTTATTAGACAGGAAGTTCAAAGAGACAGATTACGTGATACTATTGACAATCAGCATCTAGTATAACACAATACAACAACAACAACCAACAAGGTCTGTGTGGGGCAGTTCCTGCCACATCCATCCCTTATCAGTGAGAAAGATCCTTATCCGCGAAACAACTAAAATAAAACACATTACTTAAAACATATTTAGCACAGTTCACATGCACTTCGACAGTTCCCAGATATCAGCGCCGACGTCTTCCAAATTGACATCATCCCTGAACCACGATGGCAGTCTGTAGATACGCCTAAAGTTCTGAGAAGCAGACTCCATGACATCCTGAATATACATTCCTCTTGCTCCTGCCACCACGCCTGCCACCTCCAAAACTACCCAAGGCGTATTGAGATGGTGTGGCTTGAACGAAAGATATTGGGAATCACTTTCAAGTAGCAGTTTATCCAAATAAACGTTGGCAGCGGATAGTCTAATGGGTTCATCGCGTACTACCGCAGTGAATATGAAGTACACATTTGGTGGACAAGCCATCCATTTTTGCAGTTCCTCCAATCCGTCGGTAAAGCAAAGCCGATGTATTCGGAGATGGGTAAGGTTCATTTCTCTCACAAGAGACAAAACACGTTGGCTTGATTCCCTGGATCCTTCGTCGCGGCAATGTACAATCACTGTCATGTCCATCCGTTCGACATTGATAAGGCACTCCCTTAAGAACTCCTGTTAAAGAGCTGTCGAGTATCTTCGACAGAATGCAGGGCTTACACACTTGTTATGCCTGATGCATTTGCTAATCAGATATATACCAACCTCACCAATGGCACAAGCTAAAGGAACGAGACCAATTTGGGGAACAACTGCGGCAATTCTTTTCTCACAAAATGGGGATGTATACCAAATGACACATGGATCCTGGTATCAGTTTGCTGAGTCCACATGTCCCAACTATAGGAAAGACGTAATTTGCCACTGCACAACCCAACTCTTCGTTTCTCCCAAGATTACATGACTCCTCTAATTCGGTTAGACTTTCTTTTCTTTACCTTTTCAACAGCTGGTCGAGGTTGAAATGTGAATCAGTAAACTTCAGAACCATGCTCTAAGGGACATCCGGGACGTCAGATCCCCGTCGTGCCAAACCAGACACTAACATCTCCGTTTTACTTAAACGAAACTCTTCACGACGGGCAACAATTAGATGTTCCAAAAGTTTGGTGAAAACCCGCCAGTGAACAAGACAAATAATATGATTCGGTGGGCTGACAAATTCAGGAGGCAATACCTCTCCAAGGAAACGCGACACAGTGTTCCATTAATTTTCGCTCAGTAGCTAAAAAGTGTTGGTCATCCTTGCCAAAGTTCGGATGCAGACCATTCGCAACGTCATATGATAACAATTTATCCAAGTCACCAAGATGGTGGGCTTCTTGTAAGAACTGAAGAAGTCCAGTGACGTAACGGCACCATTTCCAAATATTGACCTAGTTTAAGGGTGTCCCATTGCAGCTGGTGTGTGACTTAAGACGACTTATCATGGGGATTTGCTCCTGTAACCCCGGCATGAGGTATTCGCATCAACATACCAGGGTAGATGCATCTTAATCACATGCCTTTTTCTGTATCTTCGGCTTAAAGGTACACAATGGACAAATCCTCTCTCTTGCTCTTGGTCCATTGGAAGTGTGAACTTCAGATGAGCCAGAGATGATCCCTTTGTCAAGAATCGTTCGGGAATCGTGCGCCTCGCTTTCGGACTGGTATTCGTCAACCACTATTAGACCTGATGACATCTCTCCGTCACTCCCAGCCGAAGAGCTGTAGTCAGAAAAAAATTGGCCTCGTTGCAATCAGAATCCATGTTTACTGAAAATACATGGAATATAGAGTGAAATACTTAAACAAATCACACTACATCATTACAACTAACATAGCCAGCGTGCTGATTTTGCCTTTACATATACACTTTACAATTCCTTCAATTGAAGGTGTGTACGCTCATTGTCATAAAAAGTCAAGTATATGGTGAAAATAATCTTGGAACAGTATATTACAGCAGGTTATTACGCAATAAAGCATAACCAAGCACAACATAAAACTGTGCAGGTCAAATAAGTTCCTAGGTACAAAAATCCTTCAATTTTGCAGGAAGGATTATTGATCGTCGTGCTCCCGCTTTGCAAGCTGCATTTTTGCTTCCGTGTTCAGTTTTATCGATCTTAGATGGCGTTGTGAGGATTTCCTGTCTATCAAGATCTAAAGTGTCCTCTCCAAATCTGTCTTGTCTAGGAAACTCAGGGAGTATTCGTCCACCAAAACTCTTTCTCGCAGTCTTTGGTCACACTGATTTTCATGCGATCCTGGATAGCATACGATGGAGGTCTACAATCGCTGACCAAGTAAGGCCACTCCCATAGGGATTGCAGCTTGGGGCTTGGCCAACTTTCTTTGCAGAGTTCAGTTTGTACACATAATCCCCGATATTGAAATGCGATTCCTCCTGACGAAAATCATAGAGGCGTTTTTGGCGTTCAAGTGATTGGCCAAGGTTCTTCCTGGCAAAGTTGTGTGTCTCGTTGATCTTTTCCGCCAATTCCTGTACCCACTCTACTGTGGTCACTGAGTCCGGAATCCCGGTACCAAGAACTAGATTAACAGGTTGTACCGATTCCCTGCCTAGCATGAGCCGGTTTGGTCTTCAACGAAACAACGGATCATCTGAAGCAGGGTGCGGTTGTAACTTTGAACTTCCCCATTAGATGAAGGATGGTATGTAGTGGTCCTCTTCTTAGTTATTTGCAGAACATCACATACAGCCTCGAACAAGTTCTTCCCCTGGTCTGTGAAAATCTCTAGTGGACAACCAAATCTAGCAACAATATGGACAACGAACTTCTATGCAATGCGCTCGGCGGACTGATTGGGAATCGCCGCCAATTCAATTCATTTGGTGAACTGGTCCAACATGACGAGGATGTAAATGTTCCCTGCTTCACTCCTCTGAAAAGACCCAAGAATGTCTAAGTGGACCCGTTCAAGGGGAAAACCAGCATGAAATATTTGTAGTGGCTCTCTTGTACGCCGGTCGGTTTCTTGTTGCGATTGCAAACTCGGCAACTTCTCACATAAACCTCACAGAACAGAACAAAACTCGATGTTGTAGAATCAGGAACCAATTTGTGCCTCTTTATCCAGGTATACGTGTCCTTCAAATTCCTGTTCTCAAAACCTTTTAATCGTATTGATTTGTACAATGTGTCCTCTTTGAAAACATTCACAATGAGGTCTTGATTAATTAAAGTAACCATTTCACCAGTATCTACAATAGCAGGAATGGTAACACCACTTATAGTAATTGAGATAACCAAACTTGATCTTGCAGATAGGCGAACAATATGTGTTTCAAGCCGCTCGGTTGAAGTGTTTTGTGGCCCATTTTCCTCTTGGACAAGTCCTGAGTCATGGGGCCTAGCCCTTTGGAGTTTAAATCCTTTCCATCCATCTCTTGTCGGTCAATCTGGCTGGACCTAAATGGTGAAGGGGACCTTGAATGTTGTCTTTCCCTATTCCTTGGTGGTGGCGTCGATGACGTCTCCACGAGGATGTGTTTCGTTTCTCATCTGGGGTATTCTGAAAAAGCTTACTGAGGTTACCTACTTGCTGGGTAAGCTGTTCAATGTTTTTTTCTATCTTCGTGTTACATTTCCGAGTGGAAGTGTTTGCCGCCACGGAACCAGAAGAGTTGCCTCGAACGTCGTCTGAAAAAGCTACCTCTCGTTGAGAGTAAGAAGCTGATTTCGATGAACCGAATATCGACCGATGGTTGGCTATCGATGCCTTTACATATTTCAGAGCCTTATGAATTGAAGTTGGGCCCTTTTCCATTGCTAACCTTGCAGCCTCCTTTTCTTTGCAGCCGCGGAGAAAAACCTCTGTAGACAGTTGATCTATTGTTTCTCTATCTGACTTCCTATACCCATCCATGGCTAAGAAATACACACGCTGTGAAAATTCCTCAAGCGATTCTCCCTCTTGCTGGCGTAAGAATTGAAGCTTACGCCTGGCTTAGACTGGCTCATTTTTCTTACCAAATCGTCGCCTCAGCTCCTTTTTAAACTCTCTGCATCTAGAGTCTGGATCGAGTTCTCGGACATACTCCAGAGCTGTTCCACTTAAACAGTCAATAAGTCTATCTGAACTCCTCCTATCACTCTAAACCTGCCGCTTAGCGATTCGCTCAAACTGAAAAATGAAGGCCTCCCAGTTTGATGTAGAGCTACAGTCAAAAGCTGTTAGTTTGGGCAGCGTTGGACTTTTACTACGTTTCCGACCTTTTCTTTTGTCCTCTCCTCACTGCTATCAGGGGAGCTTGACCTACGTGAGGTTTCTGAATCGTTCGACTTCGAATTTCTCTCTGGCTGATGTTTGTTGGTAGATCTACCCCGAGATTTTGGTGACAACTTCGCCTTGTGTCCCCTTTGTCCACCATCCGCGGGAAGTGGAATGGTTGGCGTACTCTGGGGCTTATGCTTTACTGGCGTTTGAAAATCACGAGGAAAGTCCTCTGTTCTCCCTGGGGGTGTTATTATATCCGAGCCACTTGGGGCCGGCGATGGGATCGGGCGGTTATACCTATTATCAGGTGGAATTGCATTGAGTAGTTTTTCCCTTATTTGTGATGGAGTTTGATGTTTTCTGGAGAACTCTACTTCATTCCACCATGCCAAAGTTTCTCGTTGGGTTTGTTGGTGTGCTCCAAGCCATTTTTCACGTTCGTGATACAATAATTGTTGCGATTCGTGTTCATGTTGCTTTAATTCGTTTACCCAAAGATTACGCTCATGGTCAAATTTTTTGACGGGTAGAAACCATTTCATTGTGTAGATCCTGAATGTTTCCTAGAACATTGGGCGATTGGGTTGGGATTAATGACCTTCATTAAAGGTGTTCATGGCCTGGTTTGGAGTGTAAGGTGTATAAAGCGCTATAAAACCTTCATTTATCCATTTGTACAATGTTTGTTCATTTATCCCGGTAGCAATGACGAGATCTGTTACTATAAGGCATTTTACGTTTCGCAATCTGATAATATTTTCTGCCTTTACAGGATCGACTCCACGGATTGTCTGCAATTCCTCAAACGGAGCGAATTGAACATGTATTGTTACACTGCTAGCCATAATATTTGACAGGTGGAAGTGTGAACTCCCAACAATATTGATATGGCAGGGTTGAAATATGTGATAACATTGGAATTTATTACTAAAATTATATTTTATTCAGAACATCATGTTTGTTACATGTTTATTGTAGGGAATTGCAATTCCGAGCGAAATTAGGTGAAGACAAATTTTGTTTAAAAAGGCGGTGTAAGCAACCTTAATAAACCTGACTACATAACATGTGATTCATAATACAGTATTGATAAACTCAGAAACACACGAAATCATACAGCAAATAATTACATACAAGCCGAATTCATACAAAAATGACAGAATAGTAAAAATTATAAATTTATATTACACTGAAAGTTATGTCAACTGCGTTGGTGTGAACAACCGAGGCTGACGTAATGGCGGGAGATTTCCGATGAAAATTGGTTCAAACACACATATTTACCCAATGTAAGTGGACAAGTGCTAAACAATTTTATCCTCGTCGCCAATTTGGTCGTGGTGACCACTGCA